TAATTACCAAGAGATTAATTTTTCAGTTAGAGTTGTGTTTTGAGATGTTTTTATAGATGTTTTGGAAGGGTAGGACACTATAGAATGGTGATCCTTAAACAACGGGACATCTTTTCAAGGGTTCAGGTTGGAAAAAGTAAATGGTGGATAGCATTGTGTGGAAGCAAGCCCTGTCACAGCTCCCATCAGCTGTGGGCTACATCTGTGCTAGTAAATTAAACAGTAACAGAGAGTGGTTTTTGGTTCTTAGGCCAGCTGGCAGGACTTGACCTTGTCCATATGTGTTGGGTGGGGGGTGGTAGTGTGGGAGGGGTTTACAGGGGTGGCTCCTGTGAGAAGCTTCTGGAAGCTCCCCTGTCTCCAAATCAGACCCACTTCAGGCCAAGGCCAAGTCAATTAGTGATGGTGGCTGCATCTCTGTGATAACACATTGAAGAAGAAAAAAAAAAAAAACTGCTGGGAAGCCTGCAGCAGAGAGGAGTGGGATGTGAGAGAAACAACTCTGCAAACACCAAGGTTAGTGACGGAGCAGGAGAGGTGTGCTGGAGCAGAGACTCCCCTTCAGCCCATGGTGAGAGGGCAGGCTGTGCTCCGGCAGTCCTGGAGGTTCCCCGTGGAGCCAATATCCACCTGCAGCCCATAGAGGACCCCACACCAGAGCACATGGCTGCATCCGAAGAAGGCTGGGACTCTGTGGGGAGCCCACGCTGGAGCTGTCCCTGAAGGACTGCACCCTGTGGTAGGGACCCACGCTGGAGTAATTCATGAAGAGCTACAGACTGTGGGAAGGACTCACATCAGAGAAGTTTGTGGAGGCCTGTCTCCTGTGGTCGGGAGCCCACGCTGGGTCAGGGGAAGAGTGCTCCCCCTGAGGAGGAAGGAGTGGCAGAAACAATATGTGATGAACTGACCACAACCCCCATCCCCTGCCCACTGTGCCTCTGGGGGGCAGGGGTTAGAGAAATGGAGAGCAAAGTTGAGTCTGGGAAGAAGGGAGCGGTGGGGGAAGTTGTTTTTAAGATTTGGTTTTACTTGTCATTATCCTACCCAGATTTGATTGGTAACAAATTTAATCGATTTTTTTTTTCCCCAAGTCAGGTCTGTTTTGCCCATGATCATAACTGGTGAGTGATCCTCCCTTGTCCTTGTCTCAACCCATGAGCCTTTCATTATATTTTCTCCTCCCCATCCCACCAGAGCAGAGGGAATGAGCAGGGGCCATATGGTGCTTGATTGCAAGCTGGGCCTAAACCATGACACCGTAGTGTTAAACTCCTTCAGCTGAGCTGTGTGGAAGCTGCCTGTTGGATCTAGTTCCTGGTCTGTGCTAACAGCAAAATTTGGGAAATGCCTTGCTGGTGCAGGGTGAAGCATGCTGGAGCCAATCTGCAGATGTAGTATAGCTGACTGTCAAGTTCCTGTGCCCAGAAGGGGTTTCTGGCACTCTTTTTGACTTGTGCAGTTTCAGCCCTCTTGCCTACCTCTGGATACTTGTATTTACTCTACCAGTGTGTTATTTCAGAGTTCAGAATTATCATATATGCAGAAATGTAGTGTGGTGCGAGAAGCACTTAGCATTTGCAAGTACCTTAAACTCTTCCCTGACTTTCTGAACCTGACATAGGCAAATCCTCATTAGCCCTGTTAATGACATGAGATGCCAATGGAGCTGGGAAGTTGTTTTGCAATAGTGATAACTCCTGTTTTGCAGGTCAGACGCATCACTGAAATGTGACCCTTTAGAGCTGGCAGCTCTTTTACAATCAGGAGAGGGCAAGCGCTTTATGAAAACTTACAGGTAGTGTGGAAGAGTGTCATCAAGCAGATGGTTTCTGGTTGCCCCAGTCAAAGAGTTGTCTTTCAAGACGTGTCCTAGATTTTAACCTATTGAACAAGAACACAGCAAATCAAATGGAAAACACATGGTTCACTGCTCTCAGTTTTGATAGCATCAGGAAGGTCAATCAGAGATTAATGGGTGTAACTATTTTCTAAGCCTATCTGTAATGCTTTTAGCTTGGTTTCCAAAGGAAACAGGGCATACGTGGTAATTCTCTTCTGTTTTTTTCCTTCTCAGTAGTTCTTACCCTGACCAAATCTGACAAGTATGTCAATTCTTACAAGTTTTATCTAACCAAGTATAGGAGAGAGTCTTTGTCAGTGTCGTCCGTGAGGGAAGACAGTGTTTAAGCTCAGCAAAAGACAAGCAGAGATTGCACAAGAAACAACACTTCTATAAACACCACAGCTGAAGGAAGAGCTTCATCTTGAGTTTTCTCCTTCATTAAGAGAGATCTATAAGTAAGTAGGGCTCAAAAACTGCCTTTCAGGTACTATCTATCATACCTCCATCTTTTTTCCAGATTTTGTCCACATTTTGCAAATGGGATAAAGTAGATAAAAGCAACTCTGCCTTAGTAGGTAAGAGCAGTGCTAGAAAAGGATGATGTCATTATCGGGCTTTGCTGTCTGGAGCTAGCACTGCTCAATGTAGCAAACTGCAAAGAGATCCAGCTGCCTGGTCCTGAAAAATGCTGTGTGCTCAGAAATCTGTGCGTGCTGCAACTTGTCTGCAGTGGTAACAGACATGAACAAAGAGGTGTATTTTGCCCAGAATGGGATATTTTAAGACACCACTTTTGGATATGCCTTGCCATTTCTGTGACTTTTTGTGTTTCATTTAGTACAGCAGCCTAAATGCAAGGCCAGGGTGACAGAGCTGTATGTAAAACCTCAGATGGGTTTCAGGAAGGGAGAAGGCAGTAGTCAGAGGTATGGCTTGTTTTCCAATTGTTTCTAAATTTTTTCTTCTTTTGTTCTTTTTCATGTGTGTCTCGGCTTTCTCAGTGCCTTCCAACTATCTTCCATTCCCTCTTTTTCTGTGAACTCCTTTGCTATTCACTTTGTAATTTTTCTTCTCTATTTTTCTCCTCATTGCTTTGTTATTTCAGGTAAATCTTATTTATCTGTTTTGAGCCTTCTCACTACATTTAACTCTTTCCTGAGACTTTTCTTTCCCGTTTTTAGACCTCTGTATTTTGTCACCTTTGCCTCTGCTGATACTGCCTGAATTCAAACACTGTGACTCAGCTGGACAGCAGACTTTCCTGGGTACTGAAGAGACCCTTCATTTGATGGGGATCAACTAAAGACCAAGTACGAGAATCTAATTTCTAATTAAAGCAATACCATGCCTTTCCCTGATCATGGCCTCACTTTTCTACAGCTCTAAGGGGTGTGGAGAATTGGGTGCCATTAGGACCAGTTGTCTCTAACTGGAAATAACAGAGCTGAACTTTGTCAGAGCAGAACTATGGCTGTCCAGTGTCATTTGACACACGCATGTTGCATTTGCAGTACAGTGAACCCAGGAATGCTAATGGCACTCGCATCCAAGAGACACGATGAAAATGAGTGCTTGCCTTCAGCTATTTCAGTGTGCTGTTATTTTGGACCATTGGCTATGAATGAAGTTCAAGCCAAATTGAACACAAATCACCTAGAACTGCATGTACAAAGTCTCAGATAAAATTAGCAGTAGAGCCACTAGCCTCATGCAGCTTAAGTGAGCCATCATTGCATCTCTCCCCCTAAATGTCAATACAGCTCTTTCTGCCTCTGTGCTGCTCTACATTTGGGGGCACATAGCCTTGGCAATGCTTGATTGCCACCACACGCTCAAACGCTGGCTATATGGATTGCCTTCCTGTATGGCATTTTGTGAGCGTGCCGAGTGACTGCTGAAGATTAACAGGACTTGTGACAGTGGGGACTGATGTTTGTTCTGTCTCCAACAGCATGCAGGTAGCGATGGGGAGGCTCTTATGCACTGTCCTTCAGGTGACCTTTCTCCTTTGCACAGGAGGAAGGCTCATTCTGCTGGCTAGTTTTCAGCAACACAGGAGGGCTCAGAAATTACAGGCATTGGCCACAGGGACACCATTTCAACTAATTTCTGGATGTGGGGGGGAAAGGACAGTAAAAAGAAATGCAGGAGTTTGTATGGGAAATGTTAGAGGACTAGATGACTTCTGTTCGAGACCCCGGAGCTGTGTGGCTTTGTGTGTCTGTCAGTAATCAGGAGCAGGAAAGAGCCACTTCTCCCTAATTGTCCCTCTAATTTTCTTTAATTGAGGAAATGGCTCTTTCTGTGGACATTTCTCTCTGTTGGGAAGGTTAATGCTACCAAAGGCTGCTTCAGGCATCTTGTGCAGTGCTTGAATGAATGGGAGGAGAAGTGCCTCTGGCTGCATGGCATTTATTCATTGCCTCCTCCTTGAGAGGGAGGTTAGTGTATCGCGGCATGATTAAGGGCAACAGAATCTTGCCCTAAATCAGAGAAAGCTTAGCAAGAAATTAAAACTGACTTCCTCAGGCCACATATATTTGTTTTCTTTCTGCTGTCTTTCTCCCATCACGGAGCTCTAGCATTGTTGGCACGTACGATCTAATGGGTACACCAGGGCCAGCAGTGTGATGGATTTTAATGTCACAGAGTACTGAGTGAAGCACATAGGAAAAAAAAAAAAAAAAAAAAAAAAAAAAAAAAAAAAAAAAAAAAAAAAAGAGAAAAGATCCTTGGATTTCATTGCACAAATAAATGTCAGAATGAAACAGGTCTGGCATGACTTCAGCTCCCTGCTACCCAAAGTCAGTCACACTGAAATGCTCATATAAGCAAGAAATATTGTACTGCTCTGGCACAGGTGAAATATGGGGTCTAGAACAAACCTTGCTGACCACTTAAATGCCACTTAAAACTTAAGAATAAGTTCAATAGCACTTTAGTGGAGTCTGGGACTTTCCACCCAGCCTTTTCACAAGGGTAACCAGTACTGCAGGTTATCAAGCCTGGGTTGGAGGGGTGAGTATGATGCTGTGCTGTGGGACCCCAGTTGAAGTTTCCCTCACCCCTTTTAAGTCCCAAGTTGAAGACAGAAAGTGTGTGTCTTACACTGTGCCATCACCAGATCTTGAGCCTATGTTTTTGTGCAGCACAGGTCACCATTTCCCAAGCTGAGCCTGGGCATCCCCAGCTCTTCCCGTCAGCACCTCCAAGAAAAAGGATGATCGGGAACACATCTCTCAAAGGCAAAGCAAAGGTGACTTGGTGCCTGGGTGTGATGCTGGCTGAGATGGAGGTAAGGGTATGGTCATAGAGAAATTCAGCAATGTGTAGTGAATTCAGATCATATATATATGGCTGCCTCCAGATGTGCTGCTTGCAGTTCTGCTGTGTGACAGCAGCTCAGGTCAGCTCTATTCAGTAAACATTTAGCCTGGACTTACTTGGCTCAGGAGATTAGCTATTGGTGTTTAATGGTTTTCATTGGAAATCCTGTAAGTAGAAAAAGGCTGGGCTTTCTTTGGTTTTACCCTTTTCCCTACCACTTTGCACAGTGTTTTTTTCTCAATTGGAGCAAAACACTACATCTTCAAGGGAAAAAAAAATAAAAGCCAGAAGAGAGCAAGATTCAGCAGTACAAAAGTCTTTCTTTACAAAATAAATAGCCCTGAAGACCTGTCAGAAATATTTTTGAGCTTTTAGTTAAAATATTGCTTGTTACAGCACAATCTCTCATGATTGCAGAGTCTTTCCAGAATCTGTGGTTGTTGGAGGGCAGATATCTAACAAAGAGCGCAGAGCAGCAAAATATTCATTAAGTACCCTGGCAAGGGTACACTTGTGGCCAGGTCTAGGTCCCAAAGATATCTTTTCCTTCATTAGTTTCTCCATTTCTGCAGACATTACAATTACACATCCACCTTGGTCTGGAAATAGTCTAATCTTTATTTGCCAAAATGATAGTTTAAAGCTAGAAACTAGCCTAAGAGGCATCATGTCAATTGAGCAAATAATCATAACCGTTTCCATGTCTCCTGCAAGATTTTTCTTATTTAAAAAATAATAATAAAAAAGCTGAAACCAAGCACTGAATCTTTGTGTAACCCAGTGAGTGCACAGACAATAAAACTGTTGTATTTGTGTCTCTCTCTTACCCTTATCTTTCTTCAAAGTATCAAAAGAGGAAGACAATAAAACCAAATACTTTATAGCATGGTGACCTCTGAACTGCGCTGTTTTAAATGAGTAGCCATATAACCTAACACAATATGACAGTTCTGTTTCCCTTGCTGATGTCAGGCTGAAATGTAAGGTGAGGGTTGTGCTCTGTATATAGCTTTTGAGCTGCTACTTGAAAATTTGGTTTAGTTAATGTGGTACAGATGTCTGGAGTTACTTGTGTGGCAATGCCCTTAAGGGTTGTTTCAATTAAAATACTACAGTATAAAATCAAATCGTTAACTGTTTGGGATGGAAATCCCAGCTCCTAAAGAGTTCATTAGTACAAAACTTTAATGTTAATCAAAACTGTATGAATACCATGGTTTTTGGTTCACAGGCTGAAAGAGGAACAAAAGGTAATTAAAACCTCTGGTTGTTCTTGATGAAAGAAAAGACAACCCCTGTGTGTTGGAATAATTTTATTTGACCAAAATCACTGATGTTTTGACTTTTAAACATAACATTTACCTTGAAATTTAAATTCTGTATTCAGTGACAAGAAGCATTGAGTGGAAAACAATGTCCTGATTCTTTTAAAATATATCTAAACAAACTGGGCACTTGCAGTACTCACCCATTCCTCTTCCTCCCTCCCTCTCTTGTTTCTGTCAGCATCATCATGCATTTGCCAAGTTGCCTATACGGGACACCCAGGAGAGCCTGTCTCTTTTTAGGTAAAGCATGGCATATCTCAGAAGATACCCTTTCAAAAGTGCTTGTGATCACCTGGTCATACTTAAAAAGTCATTCTTTTCTCAGTTTCTTAAACTGTACACTTGTGCTTTCCTTTGGAAGATCCATTAACTTGTACATACTATAGGGACAGAGCAATGGCTTCCCATGAGGTCATGAAATCCTTCATAAAAGAGTTTACCTCTAAATTGTCTGATGCGCTTTGCTGGGATAATTCTTTGCTGTCTGAGAGAGTTTTTGTAGCATCATTGCTAATGAACCCCTGAGTGCCTCAAACATGGTGCTCTGGGACGAGGTGAGGACATATTTCACACTCTTCTGGAAGCTGTTTTGGTGTGAAAAGAAATGGGCCAGATTTACCCATTTCCACTATTTTATGATCCTTTATATAGGAAAAGAAGCTGTTGATAGCACAGCTTAAGAGAAAAATGTGTTCCTCAATAGTGCAGCCCTATAACATCAGGTAAGAGTTAGAATTGAGGACATTTCCAGGGACTTGCTAACAACTTACCTTCAGGGGAGAGACATGTTATGCCCACACTGCTGTTCCTGACTGGTGGAGAAACTTTCAGGCTTGATTTTTTTTTTTTTTTTTTTTAAACTCTGAATTTGGAGAAAAAGTGCTCTGGCATAAACGTCAACCTGAAAGGAGTTTTGGGCGTGGTCCCTTATGCTTTTTTGGTACTGAAAGTCAGTGAATTTTCACACATCTCTGGTTTCATTGAGTGAGTCTCAGTCCTCTGGGATGCAGGCTTCAAACTGGTAATCCTCTAGCAATAGAGAGGTTCATTTCATCCTGCAGAGGCAGATCTAGTAATATCATTTTTGCATTTGCTTTGGTGACAAGATGGCATCTTCATCTGTGAAAAACAACCTAGAAAGTCTCTAGAATGGTGGTGCAGAAAGAAATCGAATTCATGGTTGGTACTTATGACAAGTGTCAGTACAGCAACCTATGTCTCATTGATAGCAAATTAATGGTAAACATTGTGAGTGATGGGGTTGTTCAAAGGGCTGAAATGAAACTTTGCTCTGACTCTCCAACGTGCTTTAATTTCCAGGCAGACAAAGCCTTTGCCCACCTTGAGAAGTGCACCAAGAGCAGCTTAGGAGACTGGAGGGAAAAGCAGCCTCAAAACCAAGGTTTGGTCACTCGTAGGTCCAATCTACAAAGAGGAACAGTAATCAGAAGGTGATACTGGTGTTTGATGGGATGGCTTGACTGTGAGCATCTTAATCCTGCTGTTGCTGGATCCAAAGCTGATCTATAGCTGTTAGAGTCTTGCAAAGTTCTTCCAGCAGCACCACAGCAGTTTGAGTGATTTTTAAAGATGTGATAGAGTAATAGCATCTTTGTTTGGCACATGTCTGTGGAACAGATTGCTTCTGCAACCAGATCATTTCGTTTACTTGCTTTCTGTCCATGTTCTCATCTCTTTAAAATGGGTACTATAATGCTGTCTCATTATGCACAGACTTTATGGGAGAGGTTCAGTAATCATTATGAAAAGGTCAGATGCTTCTGTGAAGGGCACCTATAAATGAGTCTATAAATAAATAGTTTGGAAGCCTTTAGGAGAGGCTAACAACTTATTTATCTTTTATCCTGCTGGTTGCAGGGGAGGTATAAAAGCACTAGCATTCTGCTAATTAGTTTAACGTTCAAGTTTTGGTTTGGGGGCACTGAGACACTGCTGGGTATAGCAATTGGCTTGATACGAGACCTGACCAGTGCTGAGCTTATACCAGTGCAGACTGCGGCTCTATGAGATCTGTGCTAAGCCTTGTTGGGGACCGCATTTCTTATTTGGGACACATATGTGTTTTATTGAGATGATGCTAGCTGCAAAAGACATCCTCGGCAGCGTGGCACCATTTTTCCACTTGGCTTAGAGGAGAGGAGCAACTGTTAGTAATGCTTTTTATTGACTAGTCTGAGTGCTTCTAGTTGTTGAGGTAGAGTTCAATAATGTCGAGTCTGGACTTGAAACACTCAGCTGTCTAGTTGCAAGGAGCTGGTTTCATTCCACACTCTAGTGGTGTTTAAGGCAGGTAGCAAGAAACACCTCATTTGCTTGGAGGTCATGACACTTTCTGTGGGGGAAGACACTCCTGATCTGCCTGTACACCAATAGTACGGTTATTTTCAGTGCAATAGGTTCTGGCTGTGGTGGAGTTCAAAGAGAATCCCAGTTCTGACAGATGGCAAGGGATGGGGAAAGTCTCAGGGCTACTGGGGGGCTACCTCTTTGAAAGGCTTCTCTCTCGAGCAGCTTATTTAATCACTTCAGTATTGGTTAGTTTTTTGTCACCTGAGATTCAGCACCTCTGGCTGTAGAGAAGTCAACAGTCTCCGTGTGGAGGTTTTCAGATCCTCTGGCAGCTGACCCTTAATACACAGCTCCTTAGGAGACCCCATCCATCTCCTTGATCTCTGGCTGCAGACCGAAGCACAGAAAAGCCACTTTACTTTGATTGTAGGACATAGAGTGCCCCCCTCCTTTTCTCTCCAACCAAGGAATCTGGAGTTATGAAGGAAATTCAGTGCCAGAACATCATGGTGTGTCTGAATCCATCTTGCTCCAGGCTGCAAATCTGCTTAGGCCTCTGACTGTTCACTGTGAACAGCCTGATCCCACCTGGATTTCTTTTTTCAGCAGTTTGAGGGAATGGGTCTCAAACCTTCAGTTGCTTCATGACAGACAGGCTCGTTTCTACCTGCTGAGCTTGCACAGGATGGAACTGGGTGTTGTACTTTTTGCAGATGGGATTTTAATGATTACACCCTTTCTTCTGTTGCAGCCCTCCCTTTCAGAGAGGTGGGAGACATGTGTGGCCATGAAGAGAAAGAGCAGAGACTACTTAAAAAGGAAAATGCACTGATGCACTAGGAGGAGAAAAAGTGAACCTGCACACTTTGTTCCTCACAGCAAGATGACCTATCTGAGGAAGGCAAATTTGGTAAGTGGCTTATTTTGTCTTCAGTCTACTGTCTCTTCTTATTATCTCAGAACACAAAATGTTCTCCTGCTTTGGCATTTGCACTGCTTTGATTAGGCTGGAGAGAACTGTAGGGCAGCCCCTTTCCTCTGGTGGGGCACTGAGACACTTCAGCCCAAGAATCAGGAGAATGCCCACTCCAGAAACGTAGAGACAATAGGAGCTACAGCAAAAGTTACATCTGAAGAGCACCTGTGTTCATGAGGGTTTCCACCCTGGTGCTAGAGGAAAGAAGTAAACAGCATGTTATCACACGGCCAGTTAGTTTAGCATCTGGCCGATCGTCCTGAGCACCCAGGGCAAGTGTGTGGTTGGGGGTTCAATTTCTACAGACTGGCAGTGCTTGAATTGGTATTGTTGTATGTATTAATTCAGCAACATGGGAGCTTTTCCATTGGCACATCCAGTATAGCAATGTTGTTCTGTGTAAAATACAGCAATATGCTGGATTCCTAGCTTTGCTAGAAAAACAGGGCTGTAAAGAGCCTAAGTCTGGGCCCCCGCTAGCTTGGCAATGCTCACTGTGTGTTGCCTTTCAGTGAGTTAAAGGACTTCATCTTCAGAATCACTTGGTCATTTGACCCCTTTCTTTTCCCCCTGCTTCTCCCCCCTCCCTCCCCCCCTCCCCCTCACCC